ATTGAGTCCTCCAATTGCTTTGGCTATTCTAGGTCCCTTGAATTTCCATATGATTTTAAAATCAGCTTGTTAATTCCTGCACATAAAACAAAAGAAAAAAGAAAAAGCCAGGTGGAATTTGGGCATGGACTGCACTAAATCTGCAGATCAATTTGGAGAGTAATGTCATTTTTTAACAGTTTTCTGATCCATAAACATATTTCCATTTATTTAGATCTTCTTTAATTTCTTTCAACAGTGTTTTATAGTTTTTCAGTGTACAAGTCTTGTGCCTTTGCTAAATTTATTCCTGAGTATTTTATTCCTTTTGATGCCATTATAAATGGAATTGTTCTCTAAATTTCATTTTCAGATGAGTAGTTGCTAGCACATAGAAATGCAACTGAATTTTCCCTTTCCAACCTAGAAGTCTTTTATTTCTTTTTCTTACCTAACTATCCTGGTTGGAATCTCCAGTTGAATAGAAACTGTGAAAGTGGACATCCTTGTCATGTTCCTGATCTTAGGGGGACAGCTTTCATTCACCATTAGTATGATATTTCTTGTGGATTTTTTATAGATGTCTTTTATCAGGATGAGGAAGTTCCCTTTGATTCCTAGGTTACTGAACGTTTTTATCAGGAAAAGTGTTGGATTTTGTCAAATGCTTTTTTGGTGTCTATTGAAATAATCATGTGGGCTTTTATTATATTAGTATGGTGTATTATATTGGCTGATTTTCATATGTTGAACTAACTTTACATTCCTGGGATATATCCCACTTGGCTGTGATATATAATCCTTTTTATATGGTGCCAAATTCAATTCTCTGTTATTGTTGAGGGTGTTTGTATATATGTTCATAAGGAGTATTGTAGTTTTCTTTTCTTATAATGTGTTACCTGTTTTAGTATCAGGGTACTATTGCCTCATAGGGTAAGTTAGAAAATGCTCCCTTCTCTTCCATTTTTTTGGAAGAGTTTGTGAAGGATCAGTGTTAATTCTTTAAATATCTGCTAGAAATCACCAGCGATGCCATCTGGTCTTAAGCTCTTCTTTATGGGATAATTTAAAAAATTATTATTAATTCAATCTCTTTAATTTTACAGGTCTCTTTGGATTTTCTATTTTTTCTTGAGTCAGTTTCAGCACTCTGTGTCTTTCTAGGAGTTTGCCATTTTAACTAGATTATCTAATTTATTGGCATAAGAGATCATAGTGTTCTAATAAAATCCTTATTCTCCAAGACCAATAACAATGGCCCCTCTTACATTCTTGATTTTAGTAATTTGAATCTTATATCTTTTTTTCTTAGTCTAGCAAAAGATTTGTCAATTTTTGTTGATCTTTTTCCAACTTTTGGTTTCATTGATTTTTCTCTATTGTTTTTCTATTCTCTATTTCATTTCTTTCCACTCTAATTTTTACTTTCTTCTTTCTGCTTGCTTTGGATTTAGTTTGCTCTTTTTTTCATTTTTTTTAAGGTCAAGGGATAATTATTCATTTAAAATCATTCTTTTTTCTTAATATGGGCATGTACAGCTATAAATTTCCCTCTAAGCACTGTTTTAACCACATACCACAAATTTTGGTATGCTGTGTTTTTGTTTTCATTAATCTCAAAGTATTTTCTAATTTCTCTTGTGATTTCTGCTTTATCTCATTGGTTGTTTAAGAATGTGTTTAGTTGGGGGTGCCTGGGTGGCTCAGTCATTAAGCGTCTGCCTTTGGCTCAGGTCATGGTCCTGGGGTCCTGGGATTGAGCCCTGCATCAGGCTCCTTGCTCCACAGGAGGCCTGCTTCTCGTGTTCTCCCCCTGCCTGTATTCCCTCTCTCGCTGTGTCTCTCTCTGTCAAATAAATAAATAAAATATTAAAAAAAAAAAAAAAAAGAATGTGCTTAGTTGGGGCACCTGGGTGGCTCAGTTAGTTAGGCCACTGAAGGCATGATCCCAGGATTCTGGGATCTAGCCCTACATTGGGCTCTCTGCTTAATGGGGAGCCTGCCTCTCCCTCTCCCCCTGCTTGTTCTCTCTCTCTCTCTAATAAATAAATCTTTTTAAAAAATTAAAAAATTTTAAAAAAGAATGTGTTTAGTTTTCCATATTTGTGAAATTCTTAAATTTCCTTCTGTTATTGCTTTACAATTGCATTTCATTGCAGTTGGAGAACATACAATGTAAGATTTAAATTCTTTAAAATTTATTGAGATTTGCTTTATGGATTAATGTCTGTTCTATTTTGAAGAATGTTCCATATGTTTAGAGAAGAACAGGCATTCCTCCATTGTTAGGTAAAGTGCTCTATAGATACCTGTTAGATCTAGTAGGTTTCTACTGTTGTTCAAGTCCTCTATTTCCTTACTGATCTTTTGTTTAGGTAATATATCCATTATTCAAAGTGAAGTACTCAAGTTTTCAACTATTATTATTGAACTGTCAATTTATTCCTTCAGTTCTGTCAGGGTTTTTTTGAGGATTTGTATATTTAGATGGATGTTTATAATTGTTATATCTTCTTGATAGATTGACCTTTTATCAATATATAATATCCTTTTTTGTTTCTAGTTACAATTTTTATCTAGTCTGTTTTGCCCAATATTAGTATAGCCACTCCCACTCTTTTGGTTACTATTTGCATGGCATATATTTTTCATGCTTTCACTTTTAAACTATCTGTGACTTTATTTTTTTCTCTTTTTCAACTTATTTAAATTCAATTAGTTAATATATAGTGTGTCATTAGTTTCAGATGTAGAGTTCAGTAATTCATCAGTTGCATATAACACCCAGTGCTCATCACATCATGTGCCCTCCTTAATGCCCATCACCCAGTTACCCCATCCCCCCACCTATCTGTGACTTTAAATCTATTTTTTTTTAAGCTTTTATTTATTTATTTGACAGAGAGACAGTGAGAACAGGAACACAAGCAGGAGGAGTGGGAAAGGGAGAAGCAGGCTTCCCGCCAAGCAGGGAACCCGATGCAGGCTCGATCCCAGGACCCTAGGATCATGACCTGAGCCGAAGGCAGACGTTTAATGACTGAGCCACCCAGGTGCCCCTTTAAATTTATTTTAAATCTGTTCATTAACAGCAATGAATTCATTCTCTCTCCCCACCCTCTCTCTCTTGCTCATTCTATCTCTCTCAGTTAATCTGGGGATGTCTTAATTTCTCCTACATTTTTAAATGATGATGTTGTTGGATATAGAATTCTTCATTGACAGTCTTTTTCTTTTGGCATTTTCAGTATGTCATCCCACTGCCTTCTGGCGTCCATCATTTCTGATGAAAAATAAGCTGTTAATCTTTTTGAGGGTCCCCTATACATGATGAGTCACTTCTTTTTTATGCTGTCAAAATTATCTTTGAGTCTGGCTTTGATAATTTGATTATGATGATTTAGGTGTATATCTCTTTTGACTTTATACTACTTGAGCTTCTTGGGTATTTCATCAAATTTGAGAAGTTCTCTACCATTATTTTGTCAAATACTCTTTCTGCTTTTTCTCTCTCTCCTTTTGGGACTCCCATTATGTTTATGTTGGTATGTTTGATGACACTCCACAGGTCTCGGAGGCTCTGTTCATTTTTCTTCTTTTTTTTTTTATTTCTATTCTTCTGACTATATAATCTCAATTGAACAATCTTCAAGTTCACTGATTCTTTTTCTCTGCCTGCTTAAATCTGCTATTGAAACTCTCTAGTGAATTTTTCATTTCAGTTATTGTATTTTGAAACTGCAGGATGTCTATTTTATATACCTTTATATATCTATATATCTTTATATATCTATATATCTTTTATATCCATTTTATGTACCCTTATATATTTTTCTGTTCATTGTTATTCTCTATTTGGGAATACATAATTCTCATATTTTCCTTTAATTCTTTTTTAAAATTGAGGTATAATCGACATATAACATTATATTGGTTTCAGGTGTACAACATGATTCAGTATTTGTATACATTGTGAAATGACCACCACAATAAGTCTAGTTAACATCCATCACCTTACACAGTTACAATTTTTTTCTTGTGATGAGCACTTTTAAGATCTACCCTCTTAGCAGCTTTCAAATATGTAATATAGTATTATTAATTATACTCAACATGCTGTACATTATATATCTCCATAAGTTATTTATAATGAGAAGTTTGTACCTTTGGACCCTCTTCAACCGTTTCTCCCACCCCCATCCCTCAACTCTGGCAACCACCAATCTGTTCTCTATATCTTTGACCTTGCTTTGTTTTGTTTTGGTTTTCCTTTTTTCTTTTTTAGATTCCACATATAAATGAGATCACATGGGAATAAGTCAAAGCACTGCTGCTGCTGTTTGTTTAGTAACTTTAATGGGAAAAGTCTGTATTCTTTGTGTGTAGCCAGTGAAGTCTCTGCTCATTTAGCTTAGTGGTCTGTTAATAATTGAACAGAGATTTCCTTAAATGTCTGGAACCAAAAAGTTTAGTCTTTCTTGAAGGATCTCTGTGTGTTGGGATAGGACTTCAATACTCAGCCAGGCAGCTTACAACTCTGCTGTAGCCTACAAATCCTGCACATACACACAGCCCTGCACATGTGCATGGCCTTCTAAATTGCAAGTAATATTCCAGAGCTTTTTGAAGTCCTCTATGGACATCTCATTCCTCAACTTTTCCTTTTAAGTTTCTACTACTTCAGGCAGCCATGATGTTAAATAAGCCATTGCCACTGACTGTTTTTAGAAAATGCCCCCAGAGAAAAGACTTTTCTCACTGGGCAAGTTTCCAGTCAGGTCAATAAAGACAAGCCTTACAAATGGAGTCTTCCAGGGAACCATCAAACGAGTCAAATAGTGGCAATTCTTTGGATATGGGGCTTTGAAGGAGCTCCATCCTCATTCTCATGGAGATTCAGCCATTTTTCTTGAAGATGCTCTTTGGATTGCTGTAGACCTATAGTTAATTTCCACAGTTCTGACAAAGTAGATTTTGACAAGTTTTGCCCAGAAAGCACATTGCTTTTATCCCCCTACTGATTCATAAAGGTGATTACACCACTTTTATGGAGAGATTTGTCAGATAGCTGCAATCCATTATTCTCACTGACATAACTGTTTCCTTTTTGACTTAGGCACTTGATCCACTTTTCACTTTTCCTTATTTCTGTTTTCTCAGACTCTTTATCTTTTGGTGCACAATTTCTTTCCTCGGGATTTAGAGTCATTGTGTAATTTTATGAAGTATTTCCATATCATTATCTGATGTATTTTTATGCCTGTGATCATGTTTTCTTCCAAATGCCCTCGCTCTGTTATGGCAAATGCCAATTCATCCTTTATGATCTACTATAAGTGTTAATTCCTCTGTTAGGTCTTCACTCCATCTCCAAGAGCCAAATCAATCACTCCTACATCTTCTTTTACAGCCCCTTCATATGCATTTATTATAGCTAATATTTAATCTACCCTGTTTGCTTTACTAGACTGTGAATTTTGAGGACAGAAATAAGGTATAGACCTTACTCATCTTTGTATAGCTAAACTTTAACACAGAGAAGGAACTGAGGAAATGTTTTTTGAATTGATTCTCAATAAAGAAGTCTCTGCTGCTATCACTCTGCTGATAACTCATCAAAGGCACTGAACCCTCAGGCATAAGCAAAAGCTGATGATCTTGGCTTCTCTGACACTATACTTTCCTGGTTTTCCAAGCCATCTGGCTACCTTTTTAAAGTTGCCTTTGTTCAGTTATTCTCTACTTACTTTTAAATATTGAAGTTTTACAGAATATAGATACTCTAACTCTGCTCTTTATCTTTCTCTTCTACCTGAGGGCTTCAGTTACCACACATAGGCCAACATATATCTTTATATATCTATATATCTTTTATATCCATTTTATGTACCCTTATATATTTTTCTGTTCATTGTTATTCTCTATTTGGGAATACATAATTCTCATATTTTCCTTTAATTCTTTTTTAAAATTGAGGTATAATCGACATATAACATTTTATAATATAAATCTAATAGCAGAAGTCTTATAATTAACAGAATAAACAGAAAAGCCATGTGCCTTCTTTTTACTTAACTTTGAGAAAATATCACTTGGAATCCTATTAGTAAGTGTCCTTCTGGAGCTCTGGACTGGTTCTCTAGACACCTGGGTTCTCTTCCAAGCCACCCCCTAACCTGCTGTAGGATTCTGAAGGAACCAGCAAGACTCTGTTTTAATGTGAAAGTGATTAATTTCATCTTTAACTCATACATGCCATAACAAATTTATATTTTTAAGAGATCTCTTTCCCTGCAGTATGGAGAAAGATTATAGGAAGCCAAGACTGAAGGCAGAAAAAGTAGATAGGAGGCTAGGTGAAAACTAATAGGACCTAGACCAGACAGAAATGTGATAATCTGAGATAGTCTGGAAATAGAACACATTTGATTTGGTGTTAGTTGTCAAGAATGACAGGGAGTGAAGCTTACCCCAAAGTTCGAGCTCAATTGGTTTGGACAGTGGCACTATTTATTAAGATGAAGAGAAGTGTTGAGGAGGACACAGGTTTGAAGGGGAAAATACTCAACAGTTCTGTTTGGGAGATATATATATATATATACCTATCATGTAAGTGGAGATGTCATGCAGAAAATTGAAGCTCACTAGAGAAGTCTTACTGGAAATAAAATTTGGAAGTTGGGGCGCCTGGGTAGCTCAGTCATTAAGCGTCTGCCTTTGGCTCAGGTCATAATCTCAGAGTCCTGGGATTGAGCCCCACGTCGGGCTCCCTGCTCAGCAGGAAGCCTGCTTCTCCCTCTCCCTCTGCCCCTGCTTGTGTTCCCTCTCTTGTTGTCTCTCTCTCTCTGTCAAATAAATAAATAAAAATATTTTTTAAAAAAATCATTAAAAAAAAGGGGGGCACCTGGGTGCCTCAGTCATTAAGCGTCTGCCTTCAGCTCAGGTCATGATCCCAGGGTCCTGGGATCGAGGCCCGCATCAGGCTCCCTGCTTGGTGGAACGTCTGCTTCTCCCTCTCCCACTCCCCCTGCTTGTGTTCCCTCTCTCACTGTGTCTCTCTCTGTCAGATAAATAAAATCTTTTTCAAAAAAATTTGGAAGTTATCAGATCAAACTCATAACAAATTGGGGCATCTGGGTGGCTTAGTCGTTAAGCCTCTGCCTTTGGCTCAGGTCATGACCCCAGGGTCCTGGGATTGAGCCAAACATCGGGCTCCCTGCTCTGCAGGAAGCCTGCTTCTCCCTCTCCCACTCAACCTGCTTGTGTTCCCTCTCTCGCTGTGTCTCTCTCTGTCAAATAAATAAATAAAATCTTTTTTAAAAAAAGGTCATAACAAATCTATAGCAATGGTTGAGATCACCTAAGAAAAGAATTTTCAGAAAGAGAAGAGATAAGAGCTTGTTTCTGAACCCTCAGGAATCCCAACATTTAGGGATCAGGTAGAGGAGGAATAACTATGAAAGGGTACTAAAAAAGAGGAGCCACAGAAGTAAGGGAAAGAAAGAGGGAATGGTCAACTGTGCTAAATATTGTTCAATGAGGATGGAGAAATGCCCACTAAATGTGTCCAACTGTGGATAATGGTCCTTTGAAAAGAGCCATTTCAATGCAGTTGAGGGGATGGTGTAGAAGCCAGACTGTACTGGGTTGAAGAGTAAATGGAAGGTGAAAAAGAAAGATATCATGTGTAATAATTCGTTCTTTTTTTTTTTTAAAGATTTATTTATTTGACAGAGAGAGACACAGCGAGAGAGGGAACACAAGCAGGGGGAGTGGGAGAGGGAGAAACAGGCCTCCCGCCGAGCAGAGAGGCCGATGCAGGGCTTGATCCCAGGACCCTGGGATCATGACCTGAGCCAAAGGCAGACGCTTAACGACTGAGCCACCCAGGTGGTTGTTTGTTCTTGAAATGTTTTCTTCTCTTGGCTTCTCTGACACTATACTTTCCTGGTTTTCCAAGCCATCTGGCTACCTTTTTAAAGTTGCCTTTGTTCAGTTATTCTCTACTTACTTTTAAATATTGAAGTTTTACAGAATATAGATACTCTAACTCTGCTCTTTATCTTTCTCTTCTACCTGAGGGCTTCAGTTACCACACATAGGCCAACAACTCCCAGATCTTACATATATCTTTGTTTCAGATCACTCCTTTGAGCTGTAGACTTGCATATTCAATTACCTATTCAACATCTCAAAATTAGTCATTTCCCTTTCACAGCTGTTTTGTTTCTAGTGTCCCAGATTCTCTGTAAATTATATCATTATTTTCTCAGCTGTTCAAGACAGACACCAGGAGTCATGCTTCATTTTTTTTTCCTCTTGTGTACTAAAACCAATCCAATAGCAAGTCCTGTCCATTCTATCTTCAAATGTCTCATTTATTAGCTGTTTATGGGCCAAGCACCCAAAGGTTCCTTATTTATATTATCTTTCTCATTAAGGTTCACAAGTACCCAATAAAGTAGTTTTATCTCCATCTTGAAACTGAAGCTCAGAGAGGTTAAATAACTTACTGTGGTAAAACAAAAAGTAAATGGCAGAGGGGCCTCTTTTTTGTGGTGCCTCGGAGGCGGTAGGCTGCTTCGGGATGAAGCTGAACATCTCTTTCCCAGCTACTAGCTGCCAGAAACTCACTGAAGTGGGTGATGAACTCAAACTTCGTACCTTTTATGAGAAGCATATGGTCACAGAAGTTGCTGCTGATGCTCTGGGTGAAGAATGGAAGGGTTATGTGGTCTGAATCAGTGGTAGCAATGACAAACAAGGCTTCCCCATGAATCAGCGTGTCTTGATCCATGGCCGTGTCCTCCTGCTGCTGAGTAAGGGGCATTCCTGCTATAGACCAAGAAGGACTGGAGAGAGAAAGCACAAATCTGTTCGGGGTTGCATTGTGGATGCCAATCTCAGTGTTCTCAACTTGGTCATTGTAAAATAAGGGGAGAAGAATATTCCTGGACTCACTGATACTACTGTGCCTCGTCGCCTGGGGCCCAAAAGAGCCAGCAGAATCCGCAAACTTTTCAATCTCTCTAAAGAAGATGATGTCTGCCAGTATGTTATGAGAAAGTCCCTAAACAAAAAGGTAAGAAACCTAGAACCAAAGCTCCTAAGATTCAGCATCTTGTTACTCCACACATCCTCCAGCACAAATGTTGGCGTATTGCTTTGAAAAAGCAGTGCACTAAGAAAAATAAGGAAGAGGCTGCAGAACATACTAAACTTTTGGCTAAGAGAATGAAGGAGGCCAAAGAAAAACACCAGGAACAGATTGCCAAGAGACAGAGGCTGTCCTCTATGAGAGCTTCTACCTCTAAGTCTGAGTCCAGTCAAAAATGAGATTTTCTAAGAGTGACAAATAAATAAGATCAGACATCAAAAAAAAAAAAGTAAATGGCAGAGAGGGAGGAATCTAATACTAAATATGCCTGTTTCCACACCGCCTCTGACCTCCCTTCCCCCTGACTTAACCTCTCTGGGGTCAAGTTTCCTTAGGAGTAAAATGTACCTAATATTTCCTAACTTTAGGCTGTCATAAAGATTGAAAAATAAACAATAAGGTACACAGCCCTAGTACAAGACATAAATTCAATAAATGTTAAGTCCCTTACACTCCCTTCACTCCCTCCTCTATACTGTTTCTGGGGCCATCTCAGTGATATTAGGATTACGGAGATGAACAAAGATTGCTCCTTGCCTTCAAAAAGCAAATAATTTAAGGAAACAAATGAACACACATTGAGACATACAGAGATAATACAATGAGATAATAATAAATGAGATAATATAGGAAGACAGTAGAGAACTAAGCATTAAATTGCATACAGAGGCTTCTTATATTAGAATTACAGAGAAAGGAAAAAGGGCTGTTGGGGAGATGGAGATGGGAATGGGCTTTTGAAAAGGACCTATTAGTACAGTTAGGATATTTAGTGAGGCTATCAGCAAAGAGGGGCAGGACACTCAGAAAAAAAGAATACGGATGTGGAAAGAATAACATGCTCAAGGTCAGTGATGTGAGCAATCTGATTTCAGCAAAAAGTGCTTATTTTTTCCCACATCGAAGTATTTTTACTACTAAGTTTCCTTATTACAGTTTAAGTTTCCAGTGGAACAAAGAAACATTTGAGCCCATTATTAAAACCAAATGTCCTGGTAGGAAAAAACCATCATTAAACTGTCTACCTACCCACCTTCCCAGGGAAGGGGAAC